TTTAATCGAAAGTTTTCTTTCTTTATTAGGAGAGATAATTAATCATTGGGGCTTGTGCCTATGGAAAATATGAAACTAGATCATAAAGTCTGCAAAATAAAGGCAAAATCTTTAAGTAGTGTTTTATCTTCAATAATCTACCTTTTGAAAATTTGACTCGGATCACCAAATCTTTTTAATAGAGGTTGAGGAATGCGGGAGTAAGGGTGTAAATGAGTCAAACCGACTCATGAGCCCGCTTGGGCTTGGCTCGATAAATGGCTCGTGAGTAGAGCTTGATGAGCTAACGAATCAAACTTGAACCCGCCTTGACTCAACTCGTTAGCTCACGAGCTGGTTCGTTTAAAAAATATTAATGTAAAATTTACTTAAAATATATTAGCATTTAAGATTTTAAGTACACATTTGTAAAAAATGTTTATTAAATATATCTCACTTTCTTATATTAAGTGATTATTTATAATTATTTTTTTAATTTCTCATTTTTTAATTATATTTTATAATAATTGTTTATATCATAATCATTCTTTCATAATAAATGAGTTGGCTTATTAGCCAACTCAAACTCGTAGAATAAATCTCAAACATGAGCTCGATTAATTAATCAAGCTCATGCTCAAGCTCAAGTCAAGGGTGACTTGAGCTCAACTCGACTTGACTTGTTTACACCCCTATGTGAGGGTCAAATTACAGCCCCAATGTGAATCATACAAAGTTGTTGATGAATCATATTTTAAGTATGTGAATTTGGTTCGCATTTATTCTTAGAAGTAACTTACATTGAGCTAGTTTGTTTCAACATTGACAAGGTTGAATTTAATTCCTTCTTGTTAAAGATAAGGGCTTGATTTTAATTGTCCATGTTAAATTATGGAGTCGATCTTGGGCCTCTCTCTTTGAGCCAAAAAAGATGTTTTAGGTTAGTTGGTTATTAGTTTTGTAACATTAATTCGCTCCTAGCTCTTTTGAACTTCCGACATAGACCTTAATTCCAACTTTCGTGTACCATGACAAAAATTCTATGCGAAACAAGCTTCATCTTATGTACAAAGCATGACATTGACTATGGTTGCAGACAACCTGATCTGGGCTCACGTTACCTTATACAACAGTGTAGGCTTATTTCTATCTTCCACCTTCAACCTTTTTACCACTACTTAGTATTTCTCTACTTTTATAACTAAATATATGACATATGGTATAGAATATGCTCTTTCTGTTTTTACTGCATATAAAATGATCAGACACCCTGGAAGATACATATAGTAGCTGTAATCAAAGAGAAAGGGCAACTTTCTGAATATTTTTACTATAAAACACCAGTTACTTAGTATTCTCTTGCTCTGTTTGATGTGAAACAAACATGCGGTGAATCAAGAATTGCATTTAAGAAATTAATAGAAGCAATGACTTTTAGCTTGCTACCAAAAATCTTTGTTTACTCAAGTTGAGTTTAAGAATAAGACATTGATAGATTAAGCAATGACAATAAATTACATGTAGAGAGTTGAGGAGCCTCACAAAATAACACCAAAATTTAAATAATGCAAATAGCTAGAAATAACAAAGCCCCAAATTTAATATCTAGATCATTCATTTTGGAGTCCTTCACTCATTTTGAAAGTGGTGGCTAGCGGAGGAGAATCGAAGTTAGACTCTTAGCGGATTGCCAACTAGTAGACAAGTGATCCAGAGAGGACTCGTCGCTGGGGAAGAAGCCGGATTTGGGAGCGCGTGGGCGGCCGTCAATGATCCACTCGGAGTCTGACGTTGTTTTGTCGATGACAGTTTATGAGGGTCGGTAGATCCGATCAAGTAGTCCAACGGTATCGTCGTCGGAATCAAATCCCGCGTCGAAGCGCGATTGTTGGATGTCGAGGTTGCTGTGAGCGTCGAACACAAGTCCCCATTCTAGTTCCGATCCGCCATGCATCTTGCATGGAGGATGAATGCAAAGCGTTGGGAAGCGAGAGGAAAAGGTGTCGGGTGTGAGGAGGGGAATTGCCTTGAGTGCTTGTATGATGCTTAGAGAAAGGCTCCCAAGAAAAACAAAGCTGAAATCTGAATAATTTCAGTTTTGGAAGAGGGGAAGGGAATTAATTTGATGAATTCAAAATATTCCAACGGGGATGATGGTGTGGCGGCCAGCAATGGGAGGAAATTGGGCTGATTTATTGGTGTAATTATGTCATTTGGAAGAGAGAGAAGGCCAATAAAGGGGGCCGGCCATATGAGGATAGGAGGAGTGATTAAGGAGCTATGAATGTGGGGCCCAAGTTTAAGTAAGTAATTGAATTAAATCTGAATTTTTTTTTTTAATTTCAGATTTAATTGTGGCTTAAGTAACTTCCCAAAACTTGAAATGAGAGGGAATTCAAATTTGAAATTTGAATTTGGCTTTAATCTCATTAATGGGCTTGTTAATGAATGGGCACCAATTAGGAAGGTGTTTATTCAATTGCTGGAATTCATGGTGGGGGGTGGCGGGAAGAGGGGCGGCTGGGCTGGCCGGCAGGGATCTGGCCGACGGGTGGCCAGATGTTGGCCAGCGGGAGGCTGGCCGGCGGTGGCTGTGTTTCTGGCCGGCGAAATGGGGGGAAGCAAGGTGGCCGGCGGCTTGGGATGTTTGGAGTAGGCGGCCGCAAGGGCAAGGGGAGAAAAAAAGATGGAATTTTATGGGGGATTTGACGACTACGAATTTACTAACCTCAAGCATATTCTCTTTGAATTTTCGCAAGATTAGCTAGTACGAAAACTAGAACTCACAAAGAGATCTAGTCTTCTCTGGCGAACTCACTAAGAGATCTTGGAGGAGGAACTCACAAAGAGAACAAGTAGTAAATTTCATTTCATCCAAAAACTAAGTCATTACAATACATGATGCCTCATATAAGGAGGCCCAAAAATAAAGAAACTGAAAAGACAGAAATGCCCTCAGGGCTACATAAGCAAAACAATGCCCTCAGGAGCAAACTAGGAAAACTAAAAAAAGTGCACATGACATAAGCTGTAAATAAATCAGAAATACAGACTCTGGTTCGTAGCCGTCGATCTGTGCCGCCAGCGATGGTACACATGTCGAAATGTGATGTCCCTATCATTCTCCCCAGGTGGGAGAAAACTCGACCCCGTCGAGTGAGTGTCTCTAGAAGCCTCATACCACTCCAGCAAGTCTGGGTAAAATCTTTGTAGCTCATCTCGGTCGATCCACACGTTCTCCGTCTCTGGCTTTCCTGCCCATTGAACCAAGTACCTTCGGTGACCACCGTCTTTAGTAGAAATGATTTCATCGCTAAGTACTGCCTCAATCCTCTCCGCAGTAGGTAAAGTGGGAATTTTTGGGAGTGGGGGTAGGCTGGGGATCTCACCAGGTGGGGACTCATAAGGCTCATCGAGTAAGGGATTGGGTGGGTTAAACTCTGGACCCTCATAGGTTACAAGATCTTCAATGTTAAAAGTGGGGCTAAAGTTAAAACCTTCGGGAAGGTCAAGTACATAAGCATTACTGTTTATTTTAGAAATTATTCTGAAAGGTCTCGCGCTTATCGCGTGTAATTTCTTAACGGTCCCTTGCGGGAACCACTCCGGACGAATCCGAACCATTGCATAATCTCCTACTTCAAATTCTTTGAACCTTCTCTTGAGGTCCGCATTGAGTTTATAGTTAGCATTGCTCAATTCAATTCTTTTATTAATTTCTTTGTGCAATTCTTGTAAATGCAATGCAAATGCAGATGCTGACTCAGATGACCTAGACTTATGACTCATGAAAAGTTCATTTTGATGCCTATAACTTTCTTAACATGTATCAAATTTAACAATTATGCGACCAAATCAAATAAGGCAAGTCTATCTAATTAATCTTATGTACCACAGGAGCTACTCCAAACTTTTCACATATATTCTCGTTTCTCTCTCTCTCTCTTTTCACTCTCCCTCTCTCTTTTCACTCTCCCTCTCTTTTCCATATCTCCCTCTCTCTTTTCCATATCTCTCCCTTTTCACTCTCCCTCTCTTTTTTCTCTCTCTCTCACTCTCCCTCTCTCTTTCGCTCTCTCACTCTCCCTCTTTCTACTAATCGCTCTTGCTTTCTCTCTATCTATCGCTTTCTCTCTCTCTTGTTCTCTCTCTCTCCCTCTTTTCTCTCTCCCTCTCTCTCTTTTCTCTCTCTCTCTCCCCCTCTCTCTTCCTCATCTCAATGCTCTTGTTCTCTCTCTCTCCCTCCCTCTCTTTTCTCTCTCTCTCCCTCTCTCTTGCTCTCTCATATATCTCTCTATCTATCTATCTCTCTTGTTCTCTCTCTCTCTCCCTCTCTTTCTCTTTTATCTCTCCCTCTCTTTTATCTCTCCCTCTCCCTCTCTTTTCTCTCTCTCAATCTCTCTATTGCTATCTTACTCTAAACCAAAGTCACAATCAACAAATTAGATCTATCATAACTAAATTAACACTTAATAAATAGAAAATTTAGATCTACTCAAATGATTACAACATTACCTCTTGCATATGTGTAAATTTCTACCTAAATCATACATTTTATTTAAAAACTCTTGCAAATGTCTAGTGAGAACAAATAATCAAAGAAAAACGTTAAAGATTACCTTAAATTACTGATTTTTCTTCAACTCACACGAAACCTAGGTTAGCCGGCGAGATCAGATCCGGAGAATGAGAGAGCGAAAGAGAGCCGGCCGGTGTGACAGCAAAGGTTGACCGAGCGAGAGGAGGCCAGTGTGGGGTCGGCGGTCGAAGATACTTCGTCGGCGGCGACAAACGGAGCTCGATCCAGCGAGATGCGGGCGGAGGCGACGGGAGAGCGACCGAAGCGAGAGAGAGAAGGAAAGAATAGAAATGAAATGCGAGGTGCGGGTCTGTTCGTTTTTGGGCATTTACCGGCGGTATTCCGGCGGTCTCGACCGCCGGTAACAAAATAACTTATCAACGGCGGACCAAGCCGCCGTTAAACCGCCGGGCAATATTGATGTCCGGCGGTTTTCCGGCGGTTATGTGACCGTCGCTTGTACCAGCGGCTTAACGTAACAAAACCACCGGTTAGGCCGACGGTAAAAACCGGCGGTCGGACCGCCGGCGAAACCGCCATTAAAATCGGTGGTCCATAAACCGCCGGTTTGAACCACCAGTAATCGGCATTTTTCCTGTAGTGTCATGGGAATTAGATCTATAGGTTGCCTAGGCTGGTATCCGTACACGATCTCGGCAAGACTCAGACCCGTGGTTCTGTTGACAGAATTGTTATAGGCAAACTCGGCAATGGGCAACTTAGAATCCCAATCTCTAAGGTTTTCACCTACTAACGTTCTTAAAAGGTTTCCTAAGCTTCTGTTAACGACTTCAGTCTGACCATCGGTCTGTGGGTGGAAGGCTGTGGAAAACTGTAATTTTGTACCCATCTTAAACCATAATGTTTTCCAAAAATAACTCGTGAACTTAACATCCCTATCAGAGACAATAGTCTTCGGTAGTCCATGAAGTATCACAATTTCATCAAAGTAGAGCTTAGCAACCCGAGAAGCATCAAAAGTTTTAGAGCAGGGGAGGAAATGGGCCATCTTTGAGAATCTATCAACGACAACGTAGACTGAATCGTGCTTTCTAATGGTCTTAGGCAAACCTAATACAAAGTCCATACTTACATCCTGCCAAGGGCAATTTGGTACGGGGAGTGGGGTGTAGAGGCTCGTGTTCTGCTTACATTGTTTGGCAAGCTGGCAGGTGTGACATCTCTTTATAAGCTTTCCTACGTCGTGCTTAAGGGTGGGCCAAAAGAATCGATTCTCTAGCGCTGCAATAGTTTTGGATTGGCCAAAGTGGCCAGCTAGACCTCCAGCATGTAACTCCCAAACTAGAAATTCTCGTAGTAAAGTGTTGGGAATACAAAGTCTTTGTGACTTGAACAGATAACCATCTTCTGCCATAATATCATTTATTATTTGATCTTCTCCGCTGGTCAGTAGGGAGTAAGTTTCTTTGAAATCAGGGCAGTCCAAGTAATCCTCCTTAAGGCGTTCAAATCCGGTAACCTCAGTTCTAATTTCTTGAGTAATCATTAGCCTCCTGCTAAGGGCATTCGCAGCTTTATTCTCAGATCCAGCCTTATGTCTAATCGTGTAAGTGTACTCTTATAAGAATTCAACCCAACGACCATGGCGTGCATTAAGTTTGTTTTGTGAATTGATGTATCTTAAGGCCTCGTGGTCCGAGAATATCACAAATTCTTGTGGCAATAAGTAGTGCCTCCAGTACCAAAGGGACTGGATGACCGCATAAAATTCTTTATCGTAGGTAGAATACCTCTGACGAATGTCGTTCAGCTTCTCACTAAAATATGCCACAGGATGTCCTTCTTGGGATAAAACTCCTATCCCAATTCCTGATGCGTCACAGGTTACTTCAAAGACTTTAGAAAAATCAGGGAGACGAATAACAGGGGCTTCAACCATTTTCTTTTTAATATCATCGAAAGCCTTCGTTGCAGCTAAAGTCCAATTAAATTCTCCTTTCTTGAGGCAGTCGGTTATGGGTGCCACTATAGTGCTAAAGTTTCTAATAAACCTCCTATAAAATGTGGCCAATCCGTGAAAACTCCGAACATCTCTGATATTTCTAGGCTCAGGCCACTCATTGATTGCTCTAACCTTCTCGGCGACGGCTGAAATTCCTCGAGATGAGATTATGAAACCGAGAAAGGTAACACTATCAGTAAGAAACACACATTTCTGAGGGTTTGCATACAGCTGTTCTTTCCTCAAAATCTCACAGACCTGCTTCAAGTGTTCCAAATGTTTGTCTACCGATTTGCTATAGATCAAAATATCATCGAAGTAGACGACCACGAATTTTCCGAGAAAGGGTCGAAGGACTTGGGTCATAATCCGCATGAAGGTGCTAGGAGCGTTACTAAGACCAAAGGGCATAACCATCCATTCATACAACCAGTCTTTTGTTTTAAAGGCCGTTTTCCATTCATCACCCGAGCGAATTCTGATCTGATGATATCCGCTTTTAAGATCAACTTTTGAGAACAGTGTTGCTCCAGTCATCATGTCTAACATGTCGTCTAGTCGTGGGATCGGAAAACGATATTTCACAGTAATCTTGTTGATAGCACGACTATCAACACACATCCTCCAATAACCGTCTTTCTTGGGAGTTAAAAGGGCAGGAACGACACACGAGCTAAGGCTCTCTTTGATAAATCCACGTTGAAGAAGTTCCTCTACTTGCCTTTTTAATTCAGCGTGCTATGTTGGGTTCATCCGGTAGTGAGGGAGGTTAGGCAGGGAAGCTCCAGGTATTAAATCAATGACATGTTGGATGTCCCTAAGGGGTGGGAGTTGGTCAGGTAGCTCCTCGGGGAAGACATCAGCAAAGTTCTCAAGAAGATGCTTAACTTCCTCTGGGATTTGCCCTTCTTGATCATCATCCACTTCTTTAGCTACCAGGGCATACATGGGTGATCCTTGGTGAAGTTCAATGCCCACTTCTTTCGCAGTTAAGAAGTGTAAGCCCTTATTAGGTTTAGGTGGGGCAGCCTTAACTTCACTCTTGTCAGATTTGGGCTGAGAGGGAATCAATTTAATCTTCTTTCCGTTGTGTTCAAACACGCAGGTGTTCGTCCTCCCATAAATATGAACGTCGTTGTCAAACAGCCAGGGGCGACCAAGAATAATTTGGCCCTATCGTCAATTGTCAACACGTCACACCAAATCTTCTCTTGATAGCCATTAAACTCAAGCGGGATAAGGCTCCTATCTTTTATTTCCATGGAGGTTGAGTTAATCCATGCAACCTTATAAGGGTTTGGGTGAGGTGTGGCCTTAATGTTAAGCTTAGAAATCATTGCTGAAGAGACGGCGTTAATACAATTTCCACTATCGATAATGACCTTACAGTTCTTATCTCCGATCCTAGTAAAGGTGTGGAAAATGAAAGTCCTTCTCCAGTCATCACTCGGTTTCGGTTGGGACAAAGCACATCTAACGACTTGAAGGGTGACAGGTTCATCCTCAGTGAAAGAATCCTCCTCTTCATCAACATGATGAACTAAATCAGTTTCAGGCTCTTCCTCGTCGTCATCAACCTCTTCTATTATGGTAACTTTATAGGGACTGGAACATTGTGAAGCAATGTGCCCATACCCATGACACCTATAACATTTGGTTCCCGAATTGGCTTTGGGCGTGTCGCATTCGGGGGCTTTACTTTTAGAATCCGGACGAGGTGGAGCTGAACTAGAAGTGGGTCGACTACCTATCGAGTTCGTGGGTCGGTTTTGGGGCTGGCTGGTGGAAGTTCGGTATGGGTTTGGTCGGGAGTCATACTGCCTATTGTGGGAGTGGGTCTTGGACTCCTCTAGGTCGAGTACTAGGCTGCATGCTGCCTCCAAAGTGTCAATTCCTCTAGCAAAAAGTTCAGTTCTAAGATCTTCCTAAGGCCAGCTCTAAACATGGATAGGATTTGTGTAGGGGTGGCGGACTCTTCGCCATTGCAATGAATCAGGAAATCGTCGAAGGCGGAGATGTAATCTTTAACGGGCTTGCTCCCCTGGGTCAGTCTATTCCACTTATCTAGAAGCTTAGGGTAGTAGGATGGCGGGAGGTATTTTCTCCTAAGTTCCTGCTTCATAGTTCTCCAGTCGTTGATAGGGTGCTCGCCTCGAGCCTCGTGCATGTTCTCCAAGTTAGTCCAGTATAGGTTGGCTCGACCCGTGAGCTTCATTTCAGCGAATCTAACTTTCCTAGCTTCTGAAATGTTGTACCATTTAAAATAGCTATCCATCGACTTGAGCCAATCCAAGAAAACCTGAGGGTCAAGGGTTCCATCGTATGTCGGGGCATCAATCTTAAAGTTCTTTAGTAATTGAGCGTCGTTGTCTCTCTAAGGGTTCTCGTTTCCTATGGGCTCTTGATGGGGTCTCGGGTTATGTCGATAATGGTCTCGAGGATGGCCGGGATCTCGGGGTTGGTCATGATCGATTCTGTGATCCTCGCCATAAGATGAGTGAGGTTTCGAAGGTGTGTAGATAGCAGGATTCCCAATACGCTCAATATTATCTAACCGGTCACTGGTTTGGCTCCTAAAGTCAGCTAAATCAGTTTGGGTGTTACGGAGTTGCTGTGTAACCGTGCCGAGTTGTCCCACTATGAGGTCTAAAGTCACCTGCATGTGTTCCGGATCCATTGGTTAAGGTTGGGGAGTGCTACGGGTAGTTTACAGGTAAAGGACAGCAAAGAGACACGCAGGTTAACACTCCTAAAGGTCACTAAATGGAGCTGAAACGGAGTGGACAGCAAACTACAGCAAGGGGTGAAGTCACACTGGTGATTAGGGTAGGTTCTGAAGTGGAAACAGCACTTATACACAGTGTGGACAAGCTCTAAATGCCTCTAAATGGTGCAGTTTTTGAGTGGACAGCAATCTAACACAACTAAGAACATTAACCTAAGTGTTTAGAGAGACTCCTAAGGTGCGGACAACACCTAGGACTTAAGTTAGAGACTCCCAAAGACCACTAATCACTGCAGGAATTAAAAAGGACAGCAGCTACACGATGGAATAAAAATTTTCTAAGTGGTGATATGCAAGCAAACAAGCTAATAAATGGAAAGGTAATGACTAGGACAACGTTTAGCATGAGATTACCTATCCAACCTAGCTTTGATACCACAAATGATGTGAAACAAACATGCGGTGAATCAAGAATTGCATTTAAGAAATTAATAGAAGCAATGACTTTTAGCTTGCTACCAAAACTCTTTGTTTACTCAAGTTGAGTTTAAGAATAAGACATTGATAGATTAAGCAATGACAATAAATTACATGTAGAGAGTTGAGGACCCTCACAAAATAACACCAAAATTTAAATAATGCAAATAGCTATAAATAACAAAGCCCCAAATTTAATATCTAGATCATTCACCTTGGAGTCCTTCACTCATTTTGAAAGTGGTGGCTAGCGGAGGAGAATTGTAAGTAGACTTAGCGATGCCACTAGTAGACAAGTGATCCCAAGAGGACTCGTCGTCGGGGAAGAAACCGGATTTGGAGGAGCGGGTGGGTGGCCGTCAATGATCCACTCGGAGTCTGGACGTTGTTTGTCGATGACGTGTATGAGGGTCGGTAGGATCCGATCCAAGTAGGCTCCAACGGTATCGTCGTCGGAATCAAATCCCGCATCGAAGAACGGTGATTGTTGGATGTCGAGGTTGCTGTGAGCGTCGAACACAAGTCCCCATTCTAGTTCCGGATCCGCCATGCATCTTGCATGGAGGGATGAATGCAAAAGCGTTGGGAAGCGAGAGAGAAAAGGTGGCGGTTGTAGGAGGAGGGGAATTGCCTTGAGTGCTTGATATGATTGCTTAGAGAAAGGCTCCCAAGAAAAACAAAGCTGAAATCTGAAATAATTTCAGTTTTGTAAGAGGGGGGAGGGAATTAATTTGATGAATTCAAAATAATTCCAACGGGGGATTGATGGGGGCGGCAATGGGAGGAAATTGGGCTGATTTATTGGTGTAATTATGTCATTTGGAGGAGAGAGAAGGCCAATAAAGGGGGCCGGCCATATGTGGAGAGGAAGAGAAATTAAGGAGCTATGAAGGTGGGGCCCAAGTTTAAGTAAGTAATTGAATTAAATCTGAATTTTTTTTTAATTTCATATTTAATTGTGGCTTAAGTAACTTCCCAAAACTTGAAATGAGAGGGAATTCAAATTTGAAATTGGCTTTAATCTCATTAATGGGTTTGTTAATGAATGGGCACCAATTAGGAAGGTGTTTGTTCAAGGGAAATAAAATTTCAATTGCTGGAATTCATGGTGGGGGGCGGCGGGAAGAGGGGCGGCTGGGCTGGCCGGCGGGGATCTGGCCGACGGTGGCTGCGTTTCTGGCCGGCGAAATGGGGGGAAGGAAGGTGGCCGGCGGCTTGGGCTGTTTGGAGTAGGCGGCGGCAAGGGCAAGGGGAGAAAAAAAGATGGAATTTTATGGGGGATTTGACGACTACAAATTTACTAACCTCAAGCGTCTTCTCTTTGAATTTCCGCAAGATTAGCTAGTACGAAAACTAGAACTCACAAAGAGATCTAGTCTTCTCCGGCGAACTCACTAAGAGATCTTGGAGGGAGGAACTCACAAAGAGAACAAGTAGTAAATTTCATTTCATCCAAAAACTAAGTCATTACAATACATGATGCCTCATATAAGGAGGCCCAAAAATAAATAAACTGAAAAGACAGAAATGCCCTCAGGGCTACAAAAGCAAGACAATGCTCTCAGGGGCAAACTAGGAAAACTAAAGAAAGTACGCATGACATAAGCTGTAAATAAATCAGAAATAGAGACTCTGGATCGTAGCCGTCGATCTGCGCCGCCGGCGATGGTACACGTGTCGAAATCTGATGTCCCCGTCACTGTTCTTTAGTTCTCTGTTTTTCTTGCTGCATTGCTTCCACAGCACAAACATGGTTGGAAGTTTTGTCAAATTCATGCTTGAAACCATGGCTGACCAAACTCTCTATGTAGTGTCTTGATAAAGAGTAGATCATCTTCATAAAGGGTTCTCGAATTATACTCCATGTGCTGTGCTAAAAGGGTTTTTGAATCCATGACCTGACTTGACTTCCCACAAGTTCAATAATCAAAGATAAGCTCTCACGAGGAGATTCAATCAACTGCTTAAATTAGTAAGTAAATTTAAGGATATTAGGATAGAGCGATCAATGGTGCCATTACAGAAAGTTATCTACTTCGATGCAAAACTTCTGGAAAACTGTTGTTTTCCTCATCATAAAGTTTGGTATATTGATAAGCTCAAAGAGCATCAGCTTCTACTTTCCGTAAGCGCTTAGAATTTATCTTTTTAATTTGGTGTCCAAATCTGTTAGTGATGGTCACAATCTAGCCCCACTTGAGATTAACGCAAACAAATTCTACTGGAAGTTGGCTTAATGGTATAGTTTATCAGTCATATTTAGCCTTCATTTATTTTGTTCAATATGCTGGAATACCATCCTTGCCATTTAAGCCTGCTATGGTAGTTTGGGTAGATGTCCTGGTGTCAATATGCTGGAATACCATCCTTGCCATTTATGCCTGCTATGGTAGTTTGGTTAGATGTCTTGGTGGCCTACAAGTGATAAGGATGTGCTTGATTGATGCCTTGATGTGGACATCCTGCTGGCTTAGTTGCTGTAAGCTTTGATTTTTGTGGGCTGCCCTTAAATGTTCTTGCATCAGAATCTTGGAATAAATTCCTGACTGGGGACGGGCCACTTGTGCTTCTGAATTCCTAATGCTGCTACAGCCTTATATATCAATATATTATTTACTTCCGTAAAAGACCTGGGCCATTTTTTTGCTAGAACTTCCATTTCACAAGGTAATTATTGAAATTGCTAACACAATTACTATGTCAGATCCCTTTTTTTTTTTTGCTGCTGTCCAGTGAATCAGAAATTGAAATTACTTTAAGAATCTTCAGGACAATCATGCAAAAGTTTTATAGCTAACAGATTATGGAGATGAATTAAAGGTGAAAGTGGCCTTTGGATTATTTGCTTAGAGTCAATTTAGTCTCAAGTGTCTAAATTTGTTTAATTTAGTCATTTAACTCCACAAATTTAGTCATTCTATGATCATTTTGACCATCTTCTCATCCTGTGGAACTTCAAGTGGCACTGTATTTTTTTTATTTATTTTTAATCTTTTTGGAGTCTTTGTTTCTAAGTTTCCATTGAGAATGATCTGTGAGTAATTTTGTCGATTAGTCAGCTTTTAGTACAAGTTAGCTAGATTACGTGAACATAAGCAACTACATTTTTGCCTGTTTGACATCAATGCTGACCTTTTTAGTTGTTCATGAATTTCTTTAAGGTTGCTTTAATTGAGCTTATCTTTTTCATTATGGGGCCTTAGGATAGTTTTTTTTATAAAGGAACTTGAAGGCTCCGCTTGGCATAGTTTTCTTGACTCTGATTACTTGAACAACATAAGCATTTTTATAGTGTTTGGAGAGAAGCATGAGAAAGTCATGTTGTTTAAAAGCTGAAAAACATATTTTCAGAACTTTAATCTATGTAGCTTCTCATTAAAATATAATTTTATAGATTTTAATTTTCTTATCTAATTTTCTATTAGTTACATATTAAGTAAAATGAATAAATAATTAAAGTAATTAGATGGATGGATGGATAAAATTATTGTTGGAAGATTAAAAAAGAGAGAGTATTGTCTTTAGATAGTTGGGATAAGACTAATGATGTGCAAAGAATAAGTTTAACATCACTGATAGAGCACCATGAGTATAAATGGAGAATGATAAATAATAAAGTCAATAGCTAATCAAGATAGTTCAGATAAGACTACTGATGATGGTGAAAATGATTTTTATATTAACTAAGATTTGTTATGGTATTTTATTGTGATTGCTCAAAAATTTGTAATGATATTCATTTGTCATGCAATCAACTTTCATCTTTGCACAATTATATTTTATCAAACAATCACAATTCTTAGAGCAATTTAGATCCCAATCTGAATATAATTTTATCCAAATAAAAACATTTGCTTACTAAACACAGAAAACAACAAGCAAAACATTGTCAAAAGGTGCATAAAAACTTCATTATGAAACTAATTCTTTCAAAAGACAGCTCAAATTTTTTTACCCAATTAAGATTGCACAAAAGAAAGCTGCTGCAAATTAAAGTAGATGCATCTCATTTTGGTAAATAAAGCCTGAGCGATTTTTATAATGAAACTGCCTCATAAAGCAACTTTCTGGCATTACCTTCTTTATATAAATGGGTGGCTCAACCAAATAAGCCCTTGCAGATTGAAGGATCCGAATCTACATTGGCAAAGCTTTTTTTTTTTTTTTTTCTTTTTTTATCACAAGAAATAGTGTTAGTTTTTCTCTTTGGATACTACAACGTACGCCTGTGCACCCCTATGGAAAATTTATGTCCCTAATTTGTTGAAGTGTTATGGTATACTAATTGTTTAAATGATTATACCATTGAGACCCATTTTCCATATATACAAACATGCTTTATAGCTCAAATACAGCCAGACTATGGACCCTATCACGCCATGAGCATATTTGTTCTACAACATCATAGAAGTGTGCGTTTGTCTCACCTAAGAACATACGGTGACAAAGAAACACAGTAGTAGCTTGCTCTTCTCCATCCACCCAAGTACGTCCTTGCATTTAATGTTCTTCCATCTAATCCTTTTCCATTCCACCTCCACCTTCATTACTATAACTCTTTGTGGTTATATATATTGAATGATTTAGGTCATATATCTTATAATGTTGAATATATATATATATATGAATATGTGTGCAGTGCAGTATGGACCACACTAGTAAAGCTATGGATTCTCTTTTCCTCTTCCAGTGAAAGCTTGTGACAGAGCTGCAGGTAAAATATAAATATAAATAAATATATATATATATGTACATGTATAGCTTTTTCTGTCCGTATCCTTTTATAGATTGTCTTTCAGTGGCAGTATGGGAGTCCCCCCACCTCAGCTGGATGGACACGTGTTTACTGACATTTTTATGGGTTTTTATCAGCTCATCCTTTGGCAGGTTCACCTGCTTCACAATAGCACCACTATTATAGAAGTTGACAAGCCTCCTACGTACTGATGGGATTGCTGTTGTGGATGAGATTGAGGGAGAAGATGAAGAGAGAGAAAGATAGATTTTAGATGGAGATAGAGATAGAAATGGTCATTTCATGTGGCACAGTTGTGTTTTTGATGCTGCCATTGGTGCAGCAGAGGCCAGGAGAGGCTGACCTCTCCTCTCAGGCGTGCTGTAAAAAGGGGTGCAACGAACAAGTGGTCTTTACTGTGGCATGTTTGGATTGTGTGGTGTGTGTTCCCTATCTTCCAACTGCTGCCTCTTCTCACTACCATATATCCTTTTTCACCATCCAGGATTAAGTGGAAACTATTATTATTCACTGCACGTGCCCTCCCTTCCCCCACCTGCTTACCATGGTAGAAATTAATAAGAGTAAAATTTTGTGGAAGGATTCATGTTCTTGTTATACTAGAATTAAAGTATCAGGCTTCGTTTGGGACGGTTTTCTTACTGTTTCTTAAACCAGCTTTCAAGTAATTTTTGTACTAAAAAACTGATTTTAGAAGCAGTAAGAAAACAGTCCCAAACGAAACCTCAGTAGCATTTTTAGTAGATTTGGTTGCAAAATATTACATGGTTGCCATTGTGAAAACATGTGAAGAAAACGTTGGGTTTCCACTTGTGCTAATAAAATATATAAATAGATGGTCCTCTATAAATTGGTTTCTTATCTTTATCTTTACTCTTTTTTACTTGCTTCCTGATTCAGAACAGCCCAATTGTTCTTTGGAAAGAGTTGGGATAAAATTATAAGAAAAGACGAAAAATTATGTCAGAATATATTAAATATAAAATGTTGATATGAATGTAATATATATTTTAATTAATTATTTATATATTATGTTAAATTTTAATTTGACCAATTCTTTATGAAAGTATTCTGATTTTTTTTTTCTTTAAAAAAAAAACTTACAAAATGGTGATGAAGATAATAAGCATTAGCTATAAATTTATTCTTAAGGAAAAGATTATAATAATTTGCTTCGGCAGTGGAGCTTTATTAAGGCATGGAGAGGTTAGAGAAACAATAAAGTTTATTCCATTTTTGGAGAACCATTCATCAAAGATAATTAGTAGAGGCAAAGTGGGAGAGGTCAATTCAAAAAAAGAAAGTTGAAAACTGTGGCAGTCTCAAGTAGGAAGAAACAAGATTGTTGAAGACTATGGCTCTATTTATGCTTTCATATATTAACTAAAATTATGTTTATAAATATTTTAGCTTCTCGTATCTTTATCAAATTACAAAGAGGATAAATGTAAAAAATAAAATAAAATAAAATATGAAAGATATTTTTATATCAATAAAAATCACAAATTAAGGATCTATTTAAGGAACAATTATTACGTCCTCCGACCGGACGTAGAGGAACGTCCGGTCGGAGGCCAAATCGTGCTAAAAAATGAGAAATATCGAGCAATACCAAACAATAATGAGGAATACCATCACGTGAAGACTCAATACCGAGTTATACAAAAGTTGTACCGAGTTTTTCCTAGAAAAAACTCGGTACAACTCGGTATTGCTCGGCAATATTCGGCGTTGAAATTAACATCCAATCAGAGCGTCATGTTATGAAGCTCAAAATTCTCCACTCACAGATAATCTTGGGGCTTACCATAAAAGCGTGTCTTCTTCACCACTCTCTCTATAAAAAGAAAATAAATAATTAATTAATTTTAAGGAAAAAAAAAATACAATGGCCTACCCAACCAATAAGCAAATTTATGTATGAATGCTCTTATGTTGTAGGTATACAATGGCCTACCCAACCAATAAGCCAAAAAAAGAGGTTAGAGACAGCTCAAGAAATTTTCCCTCGCCCTGCTGGGGCTTCCCCCTTGGTAGTGCCGGTGATCTTGGTGATTTCCAAGGAAGTTCTCTCTTCCTTTGCTGGTGTTTCTCTTTGGTTTTTGGCTTTGTTTTCATTTTCCTTCTCCGGCATGTGCCGAAATGGCGTCGAATCGCCTGTGCGACCCAGATTTTTAAGAGGGTTTGATTAAATCGTGTTCGTTTTTGGAAGCTCTTACGGGATCTTCTTCTGTTGCTAACATTTCGAATCTTAAGACATCCTCCTTTTGCGTCTTGCCTTCCCTGTGGATTTTGGAGCAGGAAATCCAAGCTTTGGTTGTTCCGTTTCATTTTTCCTTGGTTTCTTTCCCTCGAAACGCCCCTCTCTTTATTCCATTCGAAGATTCTTCTTCAATCTTAAGCTCAATTGAGAGGTTTCGGTCACCCTGCTTGATCCATCGCATATATTGATCAAGTTGATTAATGATTTTGATTACTGTATGATTTTTTGTCATAGATCCTATCTTGTGTATAATTGTTACATGAAACTTACCAAGTGGTCTCCTCTTTTTGTTGTTGGTGTTGCATAGTCGGTGATCCCGATTTGGATTTCTTTTCTGCAGCTGTGTCCTCATCTCTACTCTCCCTGTATTCTTCACGGTTTGGGTTCTATTTTTGGCAAACCGTTGAAAATTGATTATGCCACTTCTGTTAGCTATGGGTCTTCAGTGGCTTGTGTGTTGGTGGAGTTTGATATCACTAAAACTTTCCCGTACAAGGTTTGGTTAGGTCTTGAGAAGATGGGTTATGTGTAGCAAGTGGTTATAGAAGAATTCCCACCCTTTTATGCTTCATATAAATGTATCGGTCATGTGGTTGGGAATTGTCGTCCTCATCCTTCGACTCGTCTATCTAATAATAACCCTATTAATTCTAAACCTATTTTGAATCATTCCTCCCCCCCCCCCCCCCCCCCCCCCCCCCTCTTTGTCCCATGTTGTGCATATTCTCAATGGGGGGAGTGCGATTGTTGTGGTTGATATCCCTATGGAGTTGGGAACTAAATAGAATGTGGCGGGGAGTGCTGATGACTATTTGGGGGATAATATTGTTCTTCTTAAGTTTAATTTAGTTTATGTTGATTCTGTTGTGGTTTAGGAGGACCTTGTTTCCTCGGTTCCTCAATTTTGTGCTTGTTACTACAGGAAATTCAGGTTTTATCGGTGGTTTAGTAAATTATTGGTAGTTTTTCGGCGGTCCAAAAACCGTCAGAATAAACCGCGTAGGAAACTAATTCGAGTGGTCTGTTTTCGACGATTTTAATCACCAGTGGCTTTCCGGTGGCAGGAACGGCCTGTAATTTCCGGTGATCATAACGCCGGTGACCGCCGGTTAATCACCGGCAGCTTATTGGCCGTCAAATTGTCGTATCACTGCCGGTGGACTGCAGACGACTACCGGTTAATCACCGGTGGATTACCGCCGTTAGAACCACATGTATTACTGGTGACTGTAGTGAACTTCCGGCGGTGGTTTATTAGACACTGCCGGTTAATACCGGCGGACCACCTGTAATAGCCGATAGTAATACCTAAATTTCTTGTAGTGTGTGAGGTAGGAGAATTGATCAAAAATAATTATGGTATTAACCTTAAAGATAATTTTGTCTTGTGCGAATGCTATGGTTGTGCCGAGAGATTTGCTTTGGATGTAAATTATGGCGATGTTGTGTCTTCTGACCTCCCTATTTTTTCAATCCATGCTTTGGTTGGTTGTGGTGGCCGATTCTCTCCTTTGGATTATGTGGAACAAGATGTTGTTTCTTCGTCTGTTAATTTGGCTTTGAATTTACTTGTTAATGTTCAATCTGATTTATCTCCTAATGCTGCCTCGGAGGGCAATGCCACTTTTGTTAATATTCCTATTTCTGTTATGTCTAACGATGAGCTGAAGTCCCATGTGACTTAGTCCGTTTGGGATTCTTATCCTGCTCTATATATTTTTCTCCGATTTTGTTGTCTTGCCTTGTATCTTGCTATTTTGTCGATTGAGCTGTTGTCCGATTGGTGTTGTACTCCCTTACTTTTTGAATAAAATTGTGTTTTTTGGTTTTTTAAAAAAAATGTATGAATGCTTTTAACCCTACATATAAATTATTAAAAAAATAATTTATAATGCACCTATTTTATTTCTCATTAAATTAAATTATTAGTATAATACTATAGTAAATTTGAATGAAATAAAATAGTTATAATTTCTAATTTGAATTTAATTTTAAAAAAAATAATCACATGCATGATGGGAAAATTTTAAATGTATTTGAAAATTTTTTACTCAAAAGTTAAAAATTAAAGTTTTAGGTCGAGCTAATGCATTCAACAAATCAAATAAAAATTTAAAAAGAATCCATATATTTCTAAAACATAAATGTCAAATGTATAATCAATCAAGATCTATATTGATTTGAATGAGTGTCGACTAAATTTGAGATCCTATGTGATAAAAATATTATTCATGGTCGAAAATTGTTTAAACTCTAATGAATAAAATTAGCCTAATTCAAGCAAAAGAGAAGTTATCAATGTTCGCACACGATTTGAATAAGATTCTTATAAGATATATTAAAATATATATATGAAATAGTTGAAACTTTTTTTTAATCGATAAAAAAAATTTTGCTTCAAACTCTAAGCTCTAAATGTAAAACAAGCAATAAATGTGAACTTTGCTTGAAATTTCAACAAATAATGGAATGTTAATCAACCTTATTATAAGTAATTTGAACAATACTCTAGGAGTATTGATCCAAATTTTTTAGGAGTTTGATCAATGCATTTTTTTTTTTTCCCTTCATTTTTCTTTGTGTTGAAACTTCTTCGACCAATGTTCAAATCTTAGAAAGGAATTAAACAAGCTCCTAAAAAGATTCAAATAATTTTTATCAAGAGTCAAAAATATTTCGATCAAAATATGAGTAAATTTCAAGTACTATTCAAAACCAATAATCTCATATCTATTTTCCTTCTGGGTAATTGTCAATGAGTTGTGGAGCTGAAGCCCAAAGGAACTTGACTTCTTGTGGAAACTCCATTAATGATTATCATCAAAGTGTATGATTTCTCAATCTCGAAGGGAACTTTTATTTGGTCCGGTAACAGGACGTAGCTCTACTTTCGGCCGCCAGTAGAATCCCGCCACGCGTTCTCACTATTTACCGCGCGTCCCGACAACCCGACCTGGAACGGACCCAGGATTACTCGGTATTTCTCGATTTTGCTAGGTATTGCTCGGTATTGGTCGATTTTGCTCGGCAATAACCAATACCGAGCAATACCTAGCAAATACCGAGCAATACCGAGCAATACCGAGTTGTACGGAGTTTTTCTAGAAAAACTAGGTACAACTCGGTATTACTCTGTATTACTCGGTATTGGTCTTCACAAAGCGGTATTTCTCGTTTTTGTCAAACAATACCTAGTAATACCGAGCAAATACCGAGTTGTACCTAGTTTTTACCTAGCAATACGTACATAGCATTCCCGGGTTCCGGTCCGGGTCAAGTAGTCGGGCCGCGCAGTAAAAAGTAATAGCACGTTGCGACATATTATTGGCGGCCAAACGTAGCTCTACATCCGGTCAGATGACGTAATAATTGTTTTCTCGAAGGAGCCTAAATTTGAGAAAATTGCACCAAAGAGTGGTCCTTTTGGAGGCAATTTTTCTAAATTAATCAGTAGGAGCTCTAATCTCCTATAAAAATTCTGCTAACAGTCATTCCTTTCAGACCTATATTCGGGGTTTTCTACATATTTAGTGGAACATATTTAAGAAGAAAAATTTTAAGAAATTAATGATGGAATTAATTATATTTATTTTGCAGTAAAATTAGAATTGTTGGAAACAATTAAAAAAGAATAATGCTTCACTCAGGACGTCAGATCTGCATTAAAAATGATGCCACATTAACCAACGTTAGTCAATAATTTTGTTGATTAAATAGTAAAGCTCACCAAAAATCATCAAAATATATTACTAAAGTTTTCTCTTATATAATTTTCTTACTATTTTCTTCAGAAATTTTCTAGCACTAAAGATTCCTAAAAATAATGAAAAATATGGATTAATTTATATTTTTCACAAACTTTAAAAAAAAGAAAAGTATCAATGGTCGACTTATTAAAACCAACCATCCGAGTTATCTTCAAACTAAAGTTAGATTAAAACAAAGTTATCCTCTGCTACCCCATCAATTGCATGCACCCCCACCCCACAGTAACCCCACTATTGAAAACTCCACCGACTCTCCCATCATCCGACACGTGTCAATAAATAAAAAATAAATAAAAAATCCACTCACGCCCACTATAAATACGCGCCACACTTCCACTCTTTCTTCCCATCAGCCAACATTCAAATCAAAAATTACTCAATCAAACCACCAACCTCTCTTCTAAACTCCCCCATTCTCAAAAATTCACATAAAAATCTCCATTGCTACTCCCGCAAAATCCAACCTTTAACCCTCTTCCTCCTCCTCCTCTCGTCTCCATATCTACATATGTTAAATCCCGCTCCTCCTCTCCAGGACGACCATGACGACCTCCACCGCCCTCCTTCCTCCTCGGAGGTACTTCGAATTATTTCCCACTGTATATAAAAATCCCACCCTTTTTTTTATTATGTTCACAGTCGCTAATATTAGTTATATTCCACGTACGTACATTTACATATCATTTCATGCATGTCTTTTACTTATGTAAATATTTATATATACTGCAGATATTTTCAGAAATGGGCGCCATAGGCAAAATCTGCTTCCCCACCGCCGTCACCGGTTTGGTTCTCTACTCCCGAGCAATGATCTCCATGCTCTTCCTCGGCTACCTCGGGGAACTTCAACTCGCCGGCGGATCTCTCTCCATCGGCTTCACCAACATCACCGGCTACTCGGTCCTCTCCGGGCTAGCCATGGGCATGGAACCCATTTGCGGCCAAGCCTTTGGCGCACGCCGCCGCCATCTTCTAAGCCTCACTCTCCACCGTACGATTCTCCTCCTCCTCGTCGCCTCCCTCCCCATCTCCTTCCTCTGGCTCAATATCCGCCGAATCCTGCTTTGGCTGAACCAAGACGACTCCATCTCCACCGTCGCCGCCACCTTTGCCACCGCCGCTATTCCCGACCTCCTCTTCCTTTCCTTCCTACACCCTCTCCGCATCTACCTCCGTTCTCAGAACCTCACTCTCCCCGTCGCCGCCTGCTCCGCCGCCTCCGTCGCCGTCCACATCCCTCTCAACTACTTCCTCGTCATCCGCCTCCGTATGGGCGTCGCCGGGGTCGCTTTTGCGATGGCATGGACAAATCTTAACACCGTCATCTGCCTTCTCTTCTTCGTCTTGTTTGTCCCGGGCCCGCATCGCGCCGTTTGGGTCCGGCCCGGCCCAGACGCATTCCGTGGTTGGGCCGGGCTTCTCCGTCTTTCTCTCCCGAGCTGCGCTTCCGTCTGCTTAGAATGGTGGTGGTATGAGCTGATGATTCTTCTATGCGGGCTATTATCCCGCCCGCAGGCCGCCGTGGCTTCCATGGGAATTCTGATCCAAACCACTTCTCTCGTTTACGTCTTCCCATCGTCTCTCAGTCTCGCCGTATCGACACGCGTCGGAAACGAGTTGGGCGCCGGCCGGCCGAGGAATGCCCGCATAGCGGCTTCAGTGGCCATTTCATCCGCATTCGTTCTTGGGATTGCCGCCATGGCCTTCACATCCGCCGTGCGGAATCGCTGGGGGAAAATGTTCACGAGAGATAGAGAGATTTTGGAGCTGACGGCGGCGGCTTTGCCAATTGCAGGATTATGTGAATTGGGGAACTGTCCGCAGACGACGGGCTGCGGAGTGCTGAGGGGAAGTGCGAGGCCGACGACGGGAGCCAATATTAATTTCGGGTCCTTTTATTTGGTGGGGACGCCGGTGGCGGTCTTAATGGGTTTTGTTGTCGGTTTTGGGTTTATCGGGTTGTGGGTTGGGTTGTTAGCGGCGCAAGCCACTTGTGCGGTGTGGATGGGCTGGGTATTGGTGAGGATGGACTGGGTTGCGGAGGTGGCGAAGGCGGGTGAATTGACGGAGTTACCCACCCCGTCGGTTCAAAAGACTCAGGAGAAGAATAAAGGGGACGGTGATGATGAAATGATGGAGAATATTGAGGGGAGCGGTGGTGCGAAGAGAGAAGCAGCTTTGTTGATTTCGGATATGGATCCTTTGATTATTCCTCAGGCTGGAAACAGGCAGCTGCTGCAAGTATAAATTCTTTCCCTTTTTTTTTTTTTTTTTTTTGTGGGTTTTGTCTTCTTTTATTTTTGGTTAGTGTGGAATGATGCTTTGGGTTGATCTCATTTAGAATTTCACCAACTTGTTCGTCAGTTGGGCTTCGTTGGCTACGGTTTTTTTATTGCTTTTTAAAAAAAAGTTTTAGTAAAAAAATATAAAATTTGTACTAAAACTTTATTTTAAGAAGAAATAAAAAAATTGTCACAAACGAAGCCTTGATTTTATTTCGCTGCCTTCTTTATGTATGAATGAAGGTTATTCAGAGTATATATGCATATGATTTTAATTTAACAGCTCTAATCTTTTTATGGATGTGCACAATTGATTTCTTAAAAGTTGCAAAAAAAAAAAACTGCAGAAAATAGCAACCAAATAAAATTATAGTTATTGCCTAAAAAATAAAACAATGAGAAAATTAGTCCAAATAGACTCTAAGATTTTGATTGAGATGGCTTTCTTACTGCTTTTTAAAAAACTACTTTAAACAACAAAAAAATGATGCTTTAAATAAAGTCTAAGATTTCATTTGGGATGACTTTCTTATAGCTTCTTAAAGTAACTTTTTAGCACAAAAAATCTGTTTTAAGAAGCAGCAAGAAAGCCATCCCAAACGAAGCCTAAATCAACATATTTCAAAAAAAAAAAAATGTTGATTCTATATATTTGAGAAATTAATTAATTGTTGAATTTAAGATTTATTTTGGTTAATATATAATATGTTATGAATGTCAATTATCAAATATTTTAGTAAATTTTGGATGGTAAAATAAGTTGGAATATGAACTATTTGGACATCAACGGGAAGAGGAGAGGTAGGAACCCACAGCATATTATTAATAAAAGATTCGCTTTCAGGCATGAGCTTGTTTGTTTGGAGAATTGCTTCTCCCCAATGGAAAAGTAGATGCCCCATATATAAAACTTTATGTTATGACATTCCTTTAACTATTTCTACTTATTTTTCTTAGTTTTTCTTCTCCAGTAATCAATCATTGCATGTCCGGCCAGCTTCTAGCTAGCTGCTATAATACTATCACTTTGTCTTAAGAAAAAGAAATTAAATGCTGATCGAAGAGCAATTAATTTTGCTATTGGTGATTAATTCTCAGTCTCCCAAATTTTTATAATAATTTATAAGATTTTTAATTATCATTTAAATTAACTAATGGCTAGTATATAATATTGATCTTTACGCTTTTGAAATAAAAGCTAAGAATAATGTTTATTTAAATTATTTTTAAGAAAGAAAGGAATAAGGAGATGAGGAAAGCAATAGGGAACTCTCATGGCATGCACTGAAAGCCAAATAAGTTATAAAAATACAGTCAGAGGTGATGGCATCAGCTTTGCCTGCTTCTTTTCATGCATGCTTGCTACACTCTCAGGCGACAGTGACCACATTATTCAGCCAGAAATTTTCTTAAAAGTGCCTTTTGTTATTTTCTTTTTACCACAAGAGTATATTATTATTAGCTAGACTATGTTAATTTTGATTAAATGGCTTTCTTTCGATCAATCAAGAAGGAATTTAAGAAAAATAATAGTAAATATTATTGTTTCTCACATCCAGTCCTCTCTCCAGCCCCTGACCACTGAGGCCAGAGCTGCAGATCAGGTATTTTTTGTCCTCTCCTATTTTAAATTCAAATATGATCATAGTATATTATAATATCAGATATAGGGGATTGATGTACGTAGTGGGACAAAGGCTTGATATTGTTTTTGTTGCAGTTAGGGGATTCGAGACAGGGTGAGCATGGGAGGAATTTCTCCGTCGACCACTCGGGCGTAGACCCAATCTCTATTAGTACTACTACTGTATACGACTGATTGCACGATTGTTTTATCTTACACATAGCATGCCCACAAATCGCGATGCGTCACGACTGAATGAATCTTGCTGGTTATTTGAGCCCACACAGCAGACTCATGAAAACTGTATATATACAAAGGAAGAAAGGGGAGGTTTGCACAGTAAAATGATAAAAAGTGTGGCCCTTTCATGGCAGGGAGCAGGAAATGGCCTTGGCTTTGCAGGGTTAAGGGTGGGGGCTGTAAGGGGGGGTCCGGGTCCCCTTCTATAAGCTGAAGGAACAATATTTTGCCATTATTGCTCCTGTCTGCTTGTAAATGACAAAAGCCTCTGCAGTGACTAGCTCGCTTGTGCACCCAAGTTAAAAAATAATAAAAATAAAAAAGAAAAGGTATTTATATTTATAGTGGCATGCAACATTTTGCCCCACTTCATTATTTCTCCTTATTTGATTGAAATTAAAAAAAAAAAAAAACCATAGAAAAGTGCATATATATTACAGGCCACTGCCGCCTACTTGCATTGCTTGATATCATAACATATTTCATTTCATAATTTTATATAAATCATTTGCTTATAAATAATTAAATTTACTTAAAAATACTATCATAAGTAAATTTTTACTATAAAAATTTCTTATAAAATCTTAATAAAAACTAAAAAAAAAAAAAATCAACCATCACAGTATCAAACCTTTTTCAGTTGATTATGATTAATTTTAATAAAAATTTTAGAACAATTATAATTTTTTTATGATAGGGAGAAAAAAGTTAGTTCAAAGCAATGAATTGTACCGTTTGACATGGACTAATCATATGAACTACGTACAAGTCGCCATCGTTAATTTATCAGAAGTACGACCTTTCATAGAACAAAGCTCGCATGAAATAATCATCTTTCAATCAAAACTATGAGAGGAACCAATCATTAACGAGCGATGAGTTTTTTATGTGCAGCACAGCAACTTTGTACTAATCGTTACCCTCCCCAAAAAACAAATTTGTACTAATCTTAATCACTCTTACCAAGATCCAACGGCTGTAGAGCAATCCTACAAAATCCATCCGAAATTGAACAAATAATCAATTATTGCCTTCACTTTTTAGTTCATGATAAAAAGCAAAATAATAAGGATAATAATTTAATTAATTAAAGAAAATAAAAGTATCATCATTTGTCTATGCTGATATACTGTGAATCAACGTTTTATTGAAATTATTCTATGCAAAGATCGGACATAGAATGTCGTCTGGAGACCAACCATAATTCGTCATGTCAGCAGTACCGAGACGCGGTAACCGAGCAAAGGGGTGATGTGGCACATTCAAGTTGATCTCCGGACGGCGTTCCGTATCCGCACAAAATAATTTTTCGTTTACTGGATGTCTTTTTTATTATTTTTAAATGAGAATTTAAATATTAATAGGACACAATGAAGAAAATATTTCATATAGTTAATCCGATATAAGGATAAAAACTTGATTTTATTGTTGTCGTGATTTCTTTTTTCTTTGTTCTCAACAATATTTTAAAATTAAATCTTATCTAATTCTCAACAATTTATGTATAAATTTTTTGTAATTAAATTATTGTGTTTCTGCTCTCATCATTCCCAACAAGAAAATAATTCAGCAGACAAAAAAGCATAACTCACGGATGCATTTCCCTTACTCTTTAGTCTACATAATTATCGGTCACACTGAAATCGAAGAGCCCAGCAACTTTCCAACAATATAGGTCATCGAGTACAAATATATAAATGCTGGGGGCTCTTTTGGCCGGTTTCTTCTAGTTAGAAAATAAATGTAGAATAATGTTAAAAACACATTTTTTTTTCGTATAACAATTTTACAAATAATATTTCAGACAGCTAAAGATAGTCTATGGACACAGGTCAGTAAAACAATTCATGGCAGAATGAGGCTCTCAAAGGTGACGGTATTTAGCTCGAACTCTTCTTCTGTGCACATATAGCTAAAAACGAAAGAATATATTCAGAGGAATGGCTCATGTTGAGGAAAAATTATTCTGTCCGGACAGCGTATCGAGGGTACCGCGGTTGGTACCGAGCGCCCAGTGATGTGCTGCTTTTTTATTGGTCTCTGGACATGTTAGGTGTTCGGAATCAATAATCAATCCCTATAGAGAGCATTATGCATGATGCCTACCACTCTATTTGATATTATTGTCTTCTTTTTTATGATGTGCATGCAATATTATATAATGCTGCAATGCAAAAAAAAAAAAATCTTTTGCTAGTAAAACATTACATGAAAATAGATCATTACTGGTGGATTTTTCGGCGAAAAATTTTACAGTTTCCAGCGGATTTTAAAATTTTCTGGTGAATAACCGGCGGAAATTTTTCCGACGGTAAATCAAGCGTCGGTAAAATTTGCCATAAAAAAAAATCCACCGAAAAAAGCAGCCGGAACAGTTAAAATAAACCGTGGAAGCTGCCCGAACCGTTGCCCGCCCACTTGCCCATGCGATTCGTTGCAGCGGGCAAAAATATGTTAAAAAAGTATTCTTTTATATTTAGATAATTAAAAGCAATATTAAAATCCATCGTAAAATCTTCCTGAAAATCTCACTAAAAATTTGTCGAAAATATTTCATAAAATCCGACGTAAATCCACAAAAAATCTACCCGTAAGGGACAATTTTCATGTAGTGAAATAACTAAAATATATATAATTTAAATTCATATGATTATCATAAAATATCATAGAATCTGGAAGCTGTTAATTCTTTAATTTTCATGCAAATAAGCTATTGTCACAAAGCTGTCAAACCAAACACTTTATACCTACTGCTGCATGTTAAAAAGAAGCAATACAGGAAGCAAGAATCCGAATGTGAGGTAGAATTGATCCAAACCATTGAATGCACTTAATTAAATTGATTAACAAAGCTAATTAACATGCTAACAATGGGATATAATTAGTAAATTAGTTAGTAATCAGTACATGATTAATTTAGTCGCCCTGAATTAATATTGTTTAATTAAGGAAATCTAAGAATTCAAGTTTAACTAGCTAGATCCCTTATTGTTAAAGGCAAAGATAGGTGAGCATTTTTCAACTAATTATTATTATCTATGAGAGGATAAGAAGGCTATATTTATATATATAAACATGGCAACTCTCTTAGGTATCTAAGAAGATGATAAGTTAAGATAATTAACGACTAAGAGCAAGACATTTGTCAATCGACCAACTTTGAGCCCATCCATTAATAAAATATAGCCCTCTTTTGGCAACTTTTATGATTAAATTAATGCATGCATTATGTTCGAATAGTAACTAAGTTGTCTTATTGCT